GATGTTCTTTATATACACACGTAGCTATCAATGAGATCTACAACTTTCTGTTAGACTCCGTCGGCTAATTCTCAATTTTTTTAAAGATATATTTTTGACAGACTTAAGACTATTAAAGTCTGTGTAAAAATCATAACTTTCTTATATGATATTCGTTTTTGACTGTCTTTATATTAACGGATAGGTATTGACGATATCTTCAACTCTTGTTTAGATTGTTTTTCCTAAAAATCGGCCGATTTCAGTTTCGGCTTGTGAGCCATATACTGTTGCATTGAAACTTCGAAAAATCATAACTTCCTCTCACAAAGTCAGATCTAGGCGTTCTTTATATGCATGATTTTCTTTTACAAATACTACGACTTTTGTTTAGATTATTTATCCAAAATAATCTTTTATTTTTAATTTATATTTTAGTCCTATTACGTACGATTTTACATAATAAATAATGTACTCCTAATATAATATATATATTATATATATATATATATATAGATATTATATATATATATATATATATATGAATAACTTACTTTTATTTATTCTAAAAAGTTTACAATAGTTAACCGACAAGGTTACAGATTTGATAACTAAGCCTAGTAGGAAACGTAGGTGTTACACAAAATGACTTATTTACCTTTTTATCTTCTTTTTATATTTTCTTTTTATTGTAACAATTAAAAAAATGAAAAAAAATAAATAGTTCCCATACCCTTTTTATTAGGCGTATGCGAGTTGTGTGTGTATCCCCGAACCGTCTCCTTCATCCATCTTCTCGCTTTGTTTTGACATCCACCAACTTTTGATCTTGTTGATCGATCACGGCCAAGACCTTCCCCTTCCTTCTTCTCTATTCTAATTTGAATCGCAGGTCACCATCGTACTCCATTGTCTTTGGTTTTACTTTATCTTCTTTTCGACTTCCTCTCACTTCTACATCTATGGTGGTGACGTAAGTCCCAAGTCAATCCCTAGTCCCTTTTTTGCTAGGATCCCATATCTCCACCGCAAACTTTCCCCACGTTTATTGTCTTACACCTCTATAATGCTTCATCTCCTCAAATTCCTTCTCCGTAACTACCACATCAAATTTCTCGATTGCAAGTGTACGAAATGGAAACAATATATGCATAGAGGGTTTCGTTGACTAAAATCGTTGTTGCTAAATTTTTCAGTTCTTTCGTATGAACTTGATTTAAGCATCGGTTATGGTTCCACTCTGAATTCAAATTGGTGATTAGAAATCGTTCGACAGTGATCAATCACAAATTTTTGGTTGGAAATCGTTCAAATTTCCATAGATACTTAAACATGTGGTGGTCTAAGCTAACAAATCTTACTGCATAATTATTAAGTATTATTTTTGTTTTATATGGAGATGGTTCTATGAAACTAATATGAAGACATACCAGTACATTTAGTTGGAAAAAAATCACCACCAAATTGATATATGAACTCATGCTTATAGTTAACCGATGAGTGGTTATCTATCAAGTTTTTAATGATAAAAAAACCTTTGAAAATATAGAATTTGTAGTTCTAATCAAATAAAAAAAGGAAGAACAGGGGATCGCCCACAACAAGGCGATGGTAAACAGTTATGTAGTAAGGATGATGGCAGGAAGGTTTTTTAAAAGATGAATAAGGGCAGTGTTTGGTTGTTTGTGTGTGAATTGAAGTTGCCTCCAAAGATGGTGAAGAAAGGTGATGAAGATGGCGTTGTTGGTGGTTGGAATGGAGGGTGATGCAAACTCGAAATTCGGTCATTGGGTCTTGGTGTCGGATCTGGATTGTGGATCTGAGATGTGCGTCGTTAGCAAGTTCCCGACGAGAATCCTAGCTGCAATCGAATAATAAGATCGTTAAAACCGCCCCAGGGATTGTGCCCCGGGAGCAGGCTCTGACGATCAAGTTAGATTGATGTGTAAGAGGAGATAGTTCCTCGTGGTGGGAGAGAACCATATTAGTGAGGCAAGGATGTGCGTATGTAATAGGAGTTGATCTCCCAAGGTAGGAGAAGTTTGAGGGGAGTCCTCCTCCATGGAGGAGAACATGTTCTATTTATAGGGGACAATTAGGTCAAGAGGAATTAGTTCAGACCTTAGATCAACCCAACTCAGTCCTAACTAGCCGGCAACAGTACCGACAAGCTGCGCGGTCTTACGGTGGTGTCAGGCGGGGGCGCCAGGTAGGCAAGGCTGCCAGACGGGCTAAAATGCCGACAGATAGATCTAGCAAATAGACATATCCTTATCAAGTCCCCCCAATCTGATGTGATTGGTGTGCATCCAATTGCATTGGACTGGACATGGTCATATAAGTCGTACACCGTCGACGCCTGCCAAGGGCGCCATACAGATATGTCTAGCAAATAGACTTATCCCCGTCAAGCCCCCCCCCCCCCCCCCCCCCCCCCCCCGCATCCGATGTGATTGGTTTGCTACCAATTGCATTGGACTGGACATAGTTATGTAGGTTGTACATTGTCGACGCCTGACATGGGTGCCAGACATATCATATAGACATATTCCTATTAAGTTCATCCTAGTCCGATGTGATTGGTTTGCAGTCAATTGCATTGTTCTGGATATAGTCATGTAGGTTGTACACCATCGACGCCTTCCAGGGGCGCCAGACGGAGCGTCAGGCAGTTAGCTCTAGCAAATAGACATATCCCTATCAAGTCCACCCAGTCCGATTTTTTTTTTTGAAGGACGAGTTAGTATATGTCTACGATTGAACTCGGTGCCTCCTTGTTAGAAAAACTAAGTCCCCCCCCCCCAGTCCAATGTGATTGGTGTGCAACCAATTGCATCGGACTAACCATAGTCATATAAGTCGTACACCGTCGACGCCTGATAGGGGCGCCATACAGATAGGTCTAGCAAATAGACATATCCCTATCAAGTCCCTCCAGTCCAATGTGACTGGTTTGTAGCCAATTGAATTGGACTGGACATAGTCATATAGGTTGTACACCATCGACGCCTTCTAGGGGCGCCAGACAGATAGGTCTAGCAAATAGACATATCCCTATCAGAGGGATAAAGGTGATGATGTAAGGTTAATGGTGATAAAGGTTGTGGTGGTGGATGCGATCTTCGATGGTGGTTGTAATCTCCAGCGAAAGTCCGCTGGTGTCAGTGTTGACTAGTGGTGGTGGTTTCTTGAAGACGAGCGTTGTAAAAAAGATGGGGTAAGGGGTGGAGGTGGGATAAGGATAGTATTTATTTTTTATTTTTTAAATTGTTGTAATAAAAAAGTGAAAATGGTAAATAAATCATTTTATATGAGTCAAAGATCAACCACGATAAAAATTGAAACCACACGTATCTCCCATAAAATAAAAAAAATTTAAAGATTAAACTTGATATTTTAGAAAATCACCATTTATGAAAATTTGTCTGTGTTATATTATTTTATCATTGTTTATATGAAAATATATTTGATCAATGGATATCACTAATTGTGTAGATTATAATATGTTATATTATTTTAAAGAAGCTGATGGATAAGTTAGAAGAAGGTTAATGACGTGGACCTTACACACATGAAGGCTGTTGTTAATTTGACTTGTAGCTGGAGGATTAAGTAAAACAGCTGTTGCACTTTTGTTAGGAGCACAAACGTTACGCTTTAATTTTATTAACTTACAATCAACTTGCTCTAGACTTTGTAACTTCTTCACAAAATTCTAACACATAACTAATTGAATATTATTTCTCATGAACATTTATTGAATATTATTTCTCATGAATATTATTTCAAATGAGTATTATCTGTCAACGTAATGAAAGATTGAATATTCATGTCTCATCTACTCGAAATATCAAATATCCCACCATTGACAAATAAAAAATAAAAAATCTGCCATAAGTCACAAACAAGTTGTAAAGATGTAAAAAAAGGTGGTCTCTAACCTAAACATCTTGTTCACATTTCTGGCACAAGATCAAATTTTTGTTCGACACCTCTTCTACTAAGATTTGCCTGTGTAGGAAGCCTATCAAATTTAATTAGCCAAGCAAGAATATTCAGTCTAATTTGTACAAACTTATTCCAACATAAAATAACTTGTATCAGACATATTTAAGTATACGTATCTGCTTTGACAAATCAAACAATCCATTTTCCATGACCATTACTAAAACACAAGCCAACATTCAACATTGCAGTTTTTTGTTTTCATTTTACCGTATTAATCCTAATTATAGTGATAATTATATGGAATCTTGTTGTAAGAACCATAAGTTTGAATTAGGTTATCATCTTTATAAACTATTTTTTACAAATAGTTTTTATAGATATGTCATATTATATACCTCATACATTTTTCAATATGAATTTAACATGATGAACAATGTTTCAATAATATCATTTTATTCTTCTTATTTGGAGTATTTTAATGTAAATGACCAACAGTCTTATGGTTTGACCTGTCACAACAGATGTTGTAAATTGAATTTTATCCCATCTTTTTTTTTCAGTGGATCAAAAAACCGGGTTTGGGCTAACCTGCATGCACCTGGACCCTGACTCATACCCGCCCCCATCCAACATCCGTATTTTTTATATTTGTAGACCGAAAATTTCATTTTCTTATAGTTTCAACCCAAACTTCTATTATTTTTACTTATTTCGTTTCCTTTTTTTTTGTCACAATTTTAGTCCAATGTTTAATTATGTTAATTAATTTGGTCCAATTTTTTTTAAAAAAATTTCCTCAACTTTATTTTACAATTTTTGTTTTTATATTTTTTAAAGCTTACTTTTTTTTTAATTCTTGTCGTACAGTTTATAACTTTATATCTTTTTTTTATGAATTGGTCCAAACCTTTTTTTTTTATAAATTTTCCAATTTTGTCTTTTTTTTTTATTAAAACTTAATAATTTTTATAATTTTTTATACAGCTTTTTTTACATCTTTGCTTTTATGCATATATTGTTTGTTATCTTTCCATTTTTTTAAGATTTTTTGCTTATCAAAGTTTTTTACAAATATGTTTCATCAATGTATGTACATAAATTGTAAAATGATTAAATGAATATATTAATGTTATATTGCTTACAGATAACCCGGTAATGGAGAGCAAATCTAGGAGATATTTTATTTTTTATTTTTTATTTTTATCCAACGCGTACAACAAATGGATAAATAAAGGAGTTAACTTAACCATGGTTAGTTAACTGGGGTTTAGGATAACACTTGTCAACTGAAATCACCTATATAAAGCTAACACCCGCCTCTGTGTCAGACATATCTTTCATCACCTCCATTTTCATCAATCAAATTTCCCACATTACGTATCACAAAATTGACGGTAATCTACGTCAATTCATCTCTTTCTTCTCTCCAACTTTCCGAACACCGTTGACTGGTCCATTACATAAATATTGTTTTCGAATGATTTCAGTTCATGTTTATATATAGTGTGTTGTGTGATTTCGTTATGATGATAATCTGTGTATGTTTTTATTGTTGGATACAGAAATCGTGAAAATGGCGTCACAAGGAACGGAGAACGGGGAATTTAGCTTTCCAAAGACACCGACGAAAGGAAGGAATGGACTTCCGAAGATTCAAACACGTGGTGGAAAGAAGGAAGACGACCAGATCTGCCATGACGACAGTGTCCCGCCGGTAAAAGCTCAAACGATCGACGAGCTGCATTCGCTCCAGAAGAAGAGATCTGTTCCAAATACGCCGATCAAAGGCGAAACTCAGCCTGCTTTTAATGCTATTTCCGAAGAAGGACGCCAGAAACAGCAGCTTGAATCCATTAGGTTTAATTTTTTCCTGCTTCACTTAGCATCAATTATACTTGATAAATCTACAATTAATTTTGAAAAACGCCGATAAAACTGATTTGTACTACGAAACATGAAAATCATATCGTTAATTTTTTATTATAGTGCGTCGTTGGCCTCATTGACGAGAGAAACCGGGCCGAAGGTGGTGAGGGGAGATCCGGATCGGAAAACTGAAACTCCGAGAGCTCAGGTGACTCACCAACACCGTCATGTTCACGCTCCTACCCTGAGTACCAGTGACAGTGCCCTCAAGTTCACTCATATCCTCTACAACCTATCCCCTGCTGGTATACCCTAGTCTTCGTTTTTTTCTCGTATTTGACTATAAAACTTAACCTGTGATTGCTTATTTTGACCATATATGCTATTTGCATTCCTGATTGTTACACAGAGCTTTACGAGCAAGCCATAAAATACGAGAAAGGATCTTTCATAACCTCTAGCGGCGCTTTGGCTACGCTCTCTGGTGCGAAAACAGGGCGATCACCGAGGGACAAACGCGTTGTCAGAGACGAGACAACCGAAGACGAACTTTGGTGGGGAAAGTAAGTTCACTCATCACTCAGCCAAACCTAACTCTAATTAGTAATTCCAACCTTGTTTGGGTTAATTTTTGTGCAATCAATTCGACTTTTAGTAGTTTGATGATTCTGAAGCTTTAGTGTTTACTAAAAACCAGGGGGTCTCCGAATATTGAGATGGATGAACACACTTTCTTAGTCAACAGAGAAAGAGCGGTGGATTACTTGTGCTCCCTCGATAAGGTGATCCGATCATTTCTTTAATCTAATCTAAATATCTAATACTATGAACAAATACAATCGCCCTTTTTTTATTTAAGATCTCACCGACAAGATAGGAAGTGGGTACAATCCATCTATAATCACTAAAAAGTAAAAACAGTAATCGTGAAAAACGAAAAAGATATTGAATACTGGAAGAAGGTGGTGAACTATTGCCATTTTAGAACATAAAGTGCTCCCAAACCGTTAAATATTGTAAGTTTGTTAGGAAGCCTGTAATGAAAAGAAATCCTAAACTGAATTGCAGTGTATTTATTTTATTATCTTTGGGTAAGAAAGACAACTTAAATCATTTAGTTGAAACTCAAATATCATAATTATTAAATAAAAAAAAATACCCGTAGCAAATGACCCACAAAAAGACCCGCTAAACATTATATGATGGATCATGGATACTTGTTGCTTTCATTATGTATTATTTAATTCAACCCCAAAAGTCAATTATTTATTAATTAATAGATCAGTTTAACAAATCTTGGGTATCTTCACGTGTTGCGTAACCTTTTTGAGGATATTTTATTAGTGTAGTTAAAAAAATCAAAGTCAAACTTAGCTTATTAATCGATTTAAGATTAAAAATACTAGGTGAGGTGATTTTATATATTTTTCAATATATAATAATAATAAATCACGAGTAAATTAGTCCTTAACTATTGAAAAAACTTATATTAACGAAATTACGCTTTCCACCCCTATACTATATCAACTTTCTTGAATATGGTCCGAAAGGAATTCTTTTTTGGATTTTCCAAACCCTAGTTCAACGCTTTTTAACGATTTTAGTCCCTTAGTCATCAAAGCTAACAACCCAACTGTTGATATATGAAAATGACCATTATACCCTTTGTCTTTGTCTTTGCTTTCAGGTTTACGTAAACGACCAGTTTCTCAACTGGGATCCAGTTCATCGTATCAAAGTCCGTATTGTATCCGCAAGAGCCTATCATTCATTATTTATGCATAACATGTAAGTAGAATAAAAAATATACATCTTTGAAGAGACATGAAGGGTAATCCGGTAAATTGGCAGGTGCATCCGACCTACTGCGGAAGAGCTAGAGGAATTCGGTACTCCAGACTTCACAATATACAACGCGGGCATGTTCCCATGTAACCGTTACACGCATTACATGACATCATCAACAAGCATAGATCTGAATCTTGGAAGAAGGGAAATGGTAATTCTTGGAACCCAATACGCGGGTGAGATGAAAAAAGGTCTTTTTGGTGTCATGCATTATCTCATGCCTAAACGCCAAATCCTTTCCCTTCATTCCGGTTGCAATATGGGGAAAGATGGTGATGTAGCACTCTTCTTTGGATTATCAGGTATAAATAATACTGTAATACCCCATCCATCATCCATTATTATTAAATAATTTAAATAAATTTAGGTACTGGAAAGACAACACTGTCTACGGATCACAACAGATATTTAATCGGAGATGATGAACATTGTTGGAGTGAAAATGGGGTTTCAAATATCGAAGGTGGTTGCTATGCAAAGTGCATAGATCTATCAAAGGAAAAGGAACCCGATATCTTCAATGCCATCAAGTTCGGGACAGGTGTAATCACTATTTCAATAACCATAGCCATTTAATTTCTGATTATTAAATAAAAAAATTAAATCTTATTCTTTTATTGCAGTTATGGAAAATGTTGTGTTTGATGAACATACCCGAGAAGTCGATTACTCAGACAAATCTGTAACAGGTAAAGACAAGTACATTAGCTCGGAGATTGTTAGAAGAATAGAATACTGATTATTAATATAAACTTGTAGAAAACACTCGGGCCGCGTATCCTATAGAATACATACCAAATGCTAAAATACCATGTGTGGGCCCACACCCGAAGAACGTGATCCTATTGGCTTGTGACGCGTTTGGTGTTCTGCCACCTGTCAGCAAGCTAAACTTGGCTCAAACTATGTACCATTTTATCAGTGGCTACACTGCTTTGGTAAGTCTCTTGTGTACATTATTACTTTTTACGGAAAATTTAAACGTTTATTTTTTAAATAACAGGTGGCGGGAACAGAAGATGGGATAAAGGAGCCACAGGCAACATTTTCAGCATGTTTTGGTGCGGCTTTTATAATGCTTCATCCAACCAAGTATGCAGCCATGTTAGCTGAAAAGATGAAAAAACACGGTGCCACCGGATGGCTTGTCAACACTGGCTGGTCAGGCGGCAGGTAACAGTAACAGTGATAACAACAATATTCTTTTTTGTGCAAATTTTATTTCAAATGTTATTTGTTTATACAGTTATGGATCAGGAAAGCGTATAAAATTGGCGTACACTCGAAAAATGATCGACGCAATCCACTCGGGTAGCCTTTTGGAAGCGGAGTACACAAAGACCGAGATATTTGGACTTGAAATCCCTACTGCAATTGAAGGTGTTCCTTCCGAGATTCTTGATCCCGCAAATACAGTAAGTCATACGTCATACTGTTACTGTTACTGCTAGTATTTACATAACTCTCAGCTGTGTGAGAGTTATAATTTCAATGTGGATTGTGGAGCAGTATCTAATTTACATATAGGACAGTGTGGGCCAGTTCAGTGATAGTTGAAGAATTTTTTTTTTTTTATGGAAATGTTTATTTATTTTTGTAGTGGCCGGACAAAAAGGCACATATGGATGCACTAACTAAGCTGGGAGGGTTGTTCAAGAAGAATTTTGAGGTGTTTTTGGACTACAAGATTTGGAACTGATAATAATTTAGCTGGTGAAATTCTCGCGGCCGGTCCAAACTTCTGATTCCGAAACAAGGAAGAATAAGATATATAAAATATGATGCATGGGAATAAGGTATTCCTTTCTACCGAGGGGTGGAATCCGTGAATCCAAAGCCGAAGGAGTTATATGTTGGTTTGTTTGGATTTGAGGATTTTATTTTATGCCTTGATTCAAGGATGTTATGTATGTAGACTAAATAAATATGTTGTGTAAATTAGTTTTATAAGACTTCTTTCCAAGGGGGAGGGATTTAGATGTGTTTTCAAGAGTTGAGTTAGTTATATGTTATGCAAATACTACACTGTATTTCCTTGTATTTATTTTATTTATTTGTTTGGTTAACTTTGGTTACCAATACTATTTATTTTATTTATTTGTTTGGTTAACTTTGGTTACCAATAAAGAATGTTTTAGCATCAATATAATAAAATGCAAAATCAACCATCCGCCTATAAGTCGTAAGATGGGCAAACTAATCAGTTAACTGATTTGGGCCTTGGCAATTGGCATGGCCCGAATCTCAATTAGAATGACTCATATCCGTTCCTATTTAGAGGTGCCGGTTTTTGTAATTGGCATTATAAAACACAAGCGACACAATAAAACTAAATCGGTTCTTTCAACTAAAACCGAACCATCAGTTTAATATAGGTATTTAAAAAATATGAAAACCTTTTTTTCAAAACGAAAATGAACCGGTTTTTAACCGAAAAAGGAA